TCCGAGAATAGCCCCCATCTGTGCACACACACAGACTAGGTATGTATATCCGCTTGCCTATTTAGGTGTTCCCGGTGCGGGAAGAGACGGTGTATGGATTTCCCGCCCAGACAAATGCCGATCGGACATCAGCTGCCACGGGGTAGACCTGGTCAATTGCCTAGGCAGAGGCGAATGGTACTTTTGTGCTCCGTGCCCTAGTATAGAGTTCTAGGGCGGCCATGGAACCAGGGTGTACAGCATTGTACGTATGATGCGCCCAAATCCACCGATCCCCCAGGTTTAGGCACTGTGACTGATCCCTCACGGGCCCTAGAAAATGCCGGAAAGTGGCGGAGGAGAATCGGCCGGCGAGTGGACGGGTATTGTCATTCCAGCCAGTCCGGGTGCTTTGGATCTGGATTTGGTCCGGTAGTCAAGACAATGTCCTACTTGACAGGCCAGATTGCCAATTTTTTTTTTTTTTTTTCTTATTTTCGGACCGTGAGCTGAGCCCGAGTCGGGTAGAGATGTGAAATGACGATCATGAGATCAGAGCCTGGTAAGAATGAGGTAGATACCGCTCAGGCCTCAGGTGTTTCCCGTGCCGAGAAGGGGTATATTAGCTAAATATGGGGTTATAACGAGAGAGATGGAATTGGATATGAGTTGTAATTGTTAATAATTAATAGCTAATACTAAAACAATTAAATAGTTATATACTATGTATCTGATATACATGAATCAAATACTTCTCCAGAAACGAACTACATCGGCAGCCGGAAACTGGGGGTCTCCACCTCCACGAAAAGCGCGTCCTTGCATGCTTTTGGCCCTCCGCAATTTCAGCGGCTCTGGTTTGCTCTTTTCTCTCGGCTTTGGGGTTTTTTTTTTCTTTTCACAATTTCCCTTTTTCCCTTCTTTTTTTTTCTGCTCTGACTTTATTTCCCCGGTCGTGACATTCCCCGTTCCCTCCCGACTTGTGTTTCTCCCGGTCCGGTGCCCCGACTCTTTGAGTTTCCCCCACACTCCGCCAATTCCGTTCTTCTTCTCCCTTGGCCCTTTCCCTCTTGCGTTCCCTTTTCGTTTCACATCGATAGGTTGTGATATCTAGTAAGTTGGAAAGCGAGTCCCCCCGGAAAATGCAATATTAACTATGATAGAAGCCGAACGGGTCTGCGCTTAATTCCCCGAGATTCTTCCCCCGCAAAATAACAACGCGTGACCCTGATACCCGTGGTAAATGGGAGAATTGCGATTGATACAAATCGCCTCGCATATCTGCAGACCTCGAGTCTGTCCAATACACCATGCGGTCCAGCATCGCTTGCGCTCGATGCCGGCGCAGTAAAATCAAATGTGTCAATTCCGGGATCGATACAACCTGCCGCGCATGCGAAACGTCCGGGCGCAAGCTCGAATGTGTCTATCCAACCCCAGCACTCGGAGTGAACAACGCCAAACGGGATCTGGCTGCCCTGGCAGAAGGCGACGATCGAAATAACGACTGGGATGGCCCGAAACGACATCGCTCGCGTAAGGTGGTGGGCATCTCTGGCTCCTCGGCTGGTTCCAAGCTCGGTGTGGATGCGCTTGATTCCTCGATCCTTACGACCAAAGTGTGGGAGGCCGTCTTCGACCTCTTCCAATCGCATTTTGCGACTCTTCTACCCTTCCTCCATCCCGCAACATTTCTCGGCCAGATTCGACAGCTCTCATCTCCCCCTCCTGCGCCCTTCGATGGACAAGATCCCCGCAATCCTGCGTATAAGGTGGACCCATCTTCCTCGTTGATTCCGCTGGGTGTACTAGCCCTAACTGCTCGGTTTCACCCTCCGTTGGCTGCAGCCCACTCACCAGTGTCGCCTAGCCATCCTTCGAATCCGCTTGCCGCATCAGAATACTATGCTGCAGCCCTCCGCAGCCGGCTGGCCGGCTTGGATGGTGCTTGCCTTGCTCAACCTGATCTTGCGCGCGTGCAGGCTTTATTGATGTTGGCTTTGCACGAATGGGGGATGTGCCGAGGCAAGAGTGCTTGGGTCTATGTGGGCATGGCCATCCGACTTGCACAGGCCATGGGTCTGCCCTTTGAACTTGAAAATGAATTTCCAGCACGAGATCCTTCGCGCTCCTCCCCCGGCTTGCGAACCGAGGCAGACCACTTCGGTCTGCCGCGGCGTGTAGAGCCCAGAGAGCCGACCTCGGATGATATTATTGCGCAAGAGACCAAGCGCCGGACATTCTGGGCTTGTTTTATCCTCGATAGATGTCTTAGCAGTGGAAAGTACCGGCCTCGGATGGTCCGAGTCAAGGAACTCGGAATTCAGCTCCCGAGCGACAACGCCTTTGCCTTCGGCGAGCGGGTCCGGACGGCCAGACTCAATGAACCGACCATTCGGCGCCCGCAGAGCTTCGGTTCCCAAAGCATGCAAATCCCCAGCATCCGTCAAAGCATAGGAGGCTTTGGCGATGAAAAACTCCCATCCAATGGATCTTCAGATAACAAATCCTGGTCACCTATCTCTCGCCGCAAGGAGTCGAGCGTGGAGGATGTTGATCGATGGGAGGTTGGCGCAGAGGAGTCGGTGCTCAGCCGGGTGATTCGGATCATTCGTGTTTGGGGAAGCATCGCTAAATGGTCTTGCGCTGGCGGTCGACGCACAGAGCAATATCCCCCATGGCATCCTGAATCCCGCTTCTCTTCACTCCGTCTGCAGTTGAACGAGTTCCAGGATAGTCTTTCCCGCAACCTACAATATTCCCAGCGAAATACCGACACACATATCATGTACAAGACCACGCTGGCTTCATATACCGTGATGCATGTTGTCTACTTCCTATCGGTAATTGTCCTTCACCGTGCCTATATTCCATTCCTGCCTATCCGCTGCAATGAGCCTTCTGGCCCCTTGGATGAGCCGTCGTTCGCTGTCGACAAGGTCAATGGCCCACCTGATGGTTTCTGGCGGGACAGTGCTCGTGAGCTCTTCAAGGCAGCGCGACAGATGATCGACCTTGTGGCCACCTGCCAAGCCCGTGGTGCTCTTGTTGAGAACCCTTTGGTCGGATTTGCTATCTACAATGCCGCTTTTATCGGTGTTTATGGAACACATTTCCCACATATGGATCCAGAGGGGCTGATGGGAACTAACCCACCCCCTGCGAGCCATGATAGCCACCAGCTTGGTGTCACACAAGCACGCAAGGCCTTGGATATCATCCGAGAGATGCGGCCTCGTCTGAAGATGGCGACCGGCTGGTTCCGCACCCTGAATCGCCTTCACAGCTACTTTTCCAAAGTCAAGCGCGATTTCCGCCGGGTTTCACGAAATCGTCTAGATAGCATGTCGGATGCTTCTGACCACGGCCCCAATGGGATCCGGCTAGTTCGCGAAGGCGGTGCTGGTGGCGGCTTTGAGGAATTTAAGATGCTCGAAAAGCTTTTCCTCGACTTTGGAAGCATCGAGGACCAGTTGACAGAGTCGGGGATGGATGAAGACTGCATCGCAGTGCCCGCAGCAAGCGAGTCCATCTACGAGCGCACGAATATGAGTGATGCTGGAAGCAATGCCGTCAGGAGCGAAACCGGTGATCCCGGTGACCAGATGCTCGACGGTACCGGTCGTCGCGAGGTCAACAGCCCCGGTCTGTCTCTACCTGGGCACCAAGGCGATCGCCGTCCCAGCCTACCACTTCCCAACAGCCGCCAAATGCCATCCGGGTCCCCTTACTCCCTTCCATCCCTTCAGCAACATCACCCAGACGGTCCCATGTACACCATCTCATCTCCCAACTACCCCTCTCTGTCAGCAACTACGCAGTCACCCTCCCAGTACTTGACGGCAACAAGCAACCGCCTGAATCCCATCAACTCCTGGCTCCCAGCCCGCCCGCAGGTTCCTCCCCCGCCATACTCCCAATCTCTCCCTCCCATCAACGCAGCCGCCTCACACACTATCCCTGTCCTCCCCCCACCGGGATCCGTCACTCAACTAGCCCCCTCGCCGCCTCTGACCTCAACAGAATACCCAGACTCAAGCCTGCTATCCACGGGTATCGGTGGAGACGACGTCATCGCCTTCCTGGATGGGTGCGAATGGAGTCAGCTATCCATGCTGGCGCCTTCTGAGATCGGTATTCCCGCCGGTTGGCTTAGCACGATCTGGTCCCCACTCAGCCGCTAGGTCCTCATTCAGCCACTAGAGTTCCCACCTCGCCAGCAGGCACGCATCGAAGCAGTGGCACCAATCGCCTTGCTTCATTGTATTATTACTCTTTACGAATTCCCTCGTCCGTTACGTCTTACGTACTGTACGATCATTTCTTTATCTCTCTCTCTTTTCTATCTATGATCGCTGGCGACTCAAAAAATGGGACATATCCTGCGGAAAATCCCCCGAGTGCCGAAAGCAGGCGAATTGAACTCCAAATCCAATCATTTCCTTTCCTGGTCTGGCCTCCTCATTTATTGGCCCAGACTCGGAATTGAAAACGGGATCACGAAGATTGATTATCACCTATACCCAGTGCGCGCGACCTTGTCTTTTTTCTGTTTCTGTTTCTGTTTCTGTTCATGTTCATGTTCTTGATATTGTTCACTTGCTACATGTCTTTTTTGTTTGGGATACGCTGTTCAACATGCGCGCAAGGCGTTCCTCGTGATTTCCCGCCAAGGTGGCCGTGAAACCCGAGTTGATTGTTCATTTATCGGCAATGTTTATCTCCATATTGGTCTTTGTCCGTTTGTTTCGAGCGAAATTTGGGATGGCACGGGAGCCTGGCAGCGGTGGCCGGCTTTTTTGACTTTTGATTTTTTTTTTTCTCCTGTGTCGGTTTTATGTTTTTACGATAGCCTAGGCGTTGCATTTGTCTTGCAAACTGCAATTCTCTTGGGTCAATTTATCTGCCTCTGTGGCTGTTTTTTATCCGGCATTCGCTTCTTCCCAGCGTAGAAATAGATAATAGCCCTCATCCAAGTACGGGTGGAAAATAGTCATCCAGTCGTGGGTTAGTCGTGGGTTATGGTGATAACTACTTACTACCTGCACCATATACTTTTACGCGTGAGATCTTCTCTAACTGTTCTTGTACCATCCATATCAACACCTCCCACCTTACATGCTTTCTCAACCTATATAAAGCAAAAACAAAAAACATACAACAGTGAGGATTCGCTGGTGGTCACCCACCCAACTACTAACTCACCGGCGTGTGGCTTGAGTACGGCTGAGCGGACGGGAAGCCCTATTTTCCACACCCTATGGTCGTATGTATTTGATACAGCGCTGGAGGGGAACATAGAGCAGCTGAGAATTATAAACTATAGCTGTGGTAGGATGGATGGTAACACAGCTTATGCCTTATCGTTACCATTGGGTCAGGTGACCTGTACGCCTAGATGGTCATAGCGTCAGATATGCACGTCAAGTGCTTATGTCTCGTTAAGCTTCATTTCTAAAAAGTTATTATAGACTTTCACGACGAAACCTAAGACAAATACATATGATATTGCTATATTTCATTCACACAGCGATAAAACAAAAACAAAAACATACAACAGTGAGGATTCGCTGGTGGTCACCCACCCAACTACTAACTCACCGGCGTGTGGCTTATGTGCGGTCAGTAGTTCGGTGGGTGTCGCCTGGGGTGAGAAATGGGTGAGCGCCGCTTTACGGTCGCGCGACCAGGGTGAGATAGGGTGAGTGCACTATAGACAGGTGAGAATCGGGGTGAGAATCATCCGCGTCGCGGACCGCCGCACTGACCCTCTTCTTGGCTGAGCTATAATGTAAATCATTGGACTGTCTAGTTCCTCTTGAAACTCTCGGTGTCTTGGCATCTGCACATTACTTGAACTGGAAGCGCAAAGAAGTTCGCTGTCCCAAACACTCCTACCTCACTAGCCAGGTAGGATTACAAATAATTGCAAAACAAGTACACGCTGGTTTGTACACTTAACACATACATATGGGTGAAAAGTTTGTCCAATGGGAAATCACTGTGTCGGCCCAGCGACCACTGCACTGACCCGTTAGCTGAACCTTCAGGTTACCATTGGGTAGGATTATCCCACGGTCAATCAGCCTATCAGCACGTGACACCCGAGCTTATCCAGATCTCAGCCCCTTCACTTCAATAATCGATATCCCAAGTATGCCGTCTGATTTACGCCTTATGGATGATATCACTCCACCTAGGAGCTTCCTGAATACTCCACTCACGCCACCGCCGACGGAAAAGAAAAAATTATCGGGAAGTGCTTAAGCAGTTTTAGACTGTTTAGAACTCCATCGTGTAGGCCAAAGGCTAGCATAGCCTTGGTGGCAGTACCGGCTCGTTTAGAACGATTTTATAGAAGTGTTGCGTGTGCTAGATGGTGACGAATCTCTTCGAGGTTACGTGGAAGATAAAGTAAGGTAAGTACTGCTAATATTCAGGTCTATTTAAAGCATTTTGTTTAGTTGTATTCTAGGCTCGACTACGACCCTTCCTAGTCCTATATGACTATCTGAATGCCAACTCCTCCCTATGATATTTTTTGTGCCAGGGTAGTATCTGAAATTTTGATCTAATTAGGGAGATTCCAAAAGAGTGATAAACCCTTCGCTGATTTTATAAGGAAGGTAGATTATAGATCTACTACCCGAATTTAGTTACTAAACGATATAAAAAGTGGAGAATAGACTCGTTCTAAACGGAGCCTAGATATATCATTTAAGCACGAGCAGGCAAAATACCCCGGTATTATCATAGAAGTGTTAATGGCGTATCTAACTACGTTGTACCTGAAAAGGGAAAACAACTAGTGTCGATTCGCTAAGATCTGATGGACAAGGAGAGAGAGAGAAAGAGAGGAAGAGGGAGCGGAGCTATCTAGTGATCTGGACCCACATGGGTGACCGCCTTCCGGTCACCCAACAAGTGTACTATTCGTAAAAAGTTCGCGCTACTGCGGACTTAGCGGATGATTATATCCTAGATACTAATGGGAATGTAAAAACGGTGATTACTCTTAATATTGAGTATAGAGGTTCTAAAAAAGCCACTATATCAATTTAGCGACTAGAAGATATAACTGTGGATGGCATGGAGGAACTTTATACGATCGCTAAGGTTAAAGAGCTGGTACATTCCCTTATAACTGTAAAGTTAGAAGAATTAGATACTGATAGTTACAGCCTTTTCGAATAGTATCTGGATACCTAGCCGAGGAATCAGCCGAGGAACCTACATTATAGCTGTCGCTTCGGGACTTTGCTCCCACGAGCATCTCATAGGAATACACCGACCTCGATTAATACATCTCCATTTCATCGAGGCAGCTTTATGACTTTCTTTTGTACACCGAAGCAGAATACCAACAAGAAGTACTCGACGAAGGTATCGTTGATCCATTCCCCCCGGGCAAGAGAAAATGCTGTCGGCCTCAAACTCCCCCTGAACACCTAAGTTCGGAAGAAGAATTGACCGAGACGATGAAAGCAATCAAACGTGGGCGCCTTGTGCGAGATTCGTTCGGGAAAAGAATCCGGGGACCCGAAATCTAAGCTGCGTCTGACATTTGAATACATAGAATGGCACATTCGCAATGCACTTTGTCTGCAATGAGTTCCGGCCTGGAGGCATGTATAAGGAGGGAAGAGGCAGTAACATGGTATTGACTGACATTTGTTAAATGCAGAGCTGTATGGGCGTTGATTATTGATATTGAAATATCGGCCAGCTTCGAAACGAATACAAAACAACATTATAAACCGATATCGGAATGGCTACAATTGAGTTTTGCGACATTGCGCTCACCACACATCTTTTTATTTAGTGCAACTTTCAAGAGTCACTTTTGCTATTGGAGGTTTATTCCTCACACTCTAACTCTGTCATAACACGATCATAGAAACCAAGCTTTCCAACACTAGTATACGCCCCATAAGAATAAGCTATAGCCTGGTTCCTCTTGCTGCTAAGGCAAGTTGATAGCAGGCTATCTTCGAGTTCAGCTAATTTCACCATTTCAATATACTCTCCTCGCTCGCGCCACTTTTCTTGTAGTTCCTCATCAAATGGGTGCCCATCCTGGTCGTATTTTTGAGGCAGGTCGAAGGAGACGGGCATAGCTGTAAGAAATTCCGGAAAAGCAATGAGCTCCCAGGGAACTGTATAAGCACCTTCCCAATCGATGATTCCCGTTACATCGAAGTTTCTCTCATCTACCATGATGTTACTATGGAGAAAGTCATCATGGGCCAGAGGGAATGGCCCTTCGTCACACGAAGACAGCCGGCTAGCCATCGCTTTGATCCGCGTTGGGAAGTTCTGGATAATCGCCACCATCTGTTCTGCTGGGATTGGCCCTCTTTGCATCATGCGAGTGATTGTCTCTTCGTCCCACTTGAACTTGACGCTCTCGGCCCACGCCTCGAAGAATGCAGTTGCTGTGTCGAAGGGACCGCCAATTCCTGGCAAAGGACCACACTCGTATCCACCCTCACGGTTACGGATAATTGTCCCAATTTTTGGGAGTCGTAAGGAAGTCAACTGGACCTATGGTGTGAAGTAAGCATTTAAGCAAGGAGCGAGCCTGTAGGCTGGATTAGGAGACAAACATGATACTTCGCAACAGAACGGTAGAATGTTTGTCGGTGTTTTTTAGGTATCACACCACGATTGGCTTCGTAGCCGCCAAGTGCATCCATAGCGACGCTACCGGGGAGAAGCTCCATCAGGATGAAAGCGGCGCTCACTGAATTGTTCTCGTCCAACTCATACGCAAAAACTCGAGGCACTGGTAAGCTGCAGTGCTCCTTAATGAATTGCATTGTAGCAACTTCATTCTCAAGCTTGGTGCTGCTAAGATTGGGGGAGCTGTTTCTTCCAATATGGACCCGAGCCGCCCAGCGAGACCCGTCGGAGAATTCAAGTAAGCGAACAATATTATTAAGCCCGCTCGCAACCTGATCCAAGGCCACGCACTCCAAATGGCCAGCAACATCTGAAGCGATTCGACATAGCTCGTTCCATTGAGTTCGATTGAAACAATCGGCGGTTTTGCTGTCACAGTTTTGCAGGAAACTCTGGATGGTATTCCAAGAGGTTGAGTTGGTAGACATGATCGGCCGGACGGGAGACATCTGACGAAGTAAGAAACCTGCTGGGACATAAGAGGAGTTAGGGTGAAATATAGTTCTGTTCGCAGACTTTCATAGGAGGATAAAAAGAAGGAGAACGGCAAATTGAAAACGACTAGCGGTGTGATTCATATTTGCACACCGTGTCATGTCGGGAAATGAAATCCAGAAGGAACGCGCGAGGACGAATCAATCAAGTCAAAAAGAAATGGCGAAATACCAGGACTGGTTCTAGCCAAGATCAGAAACCGCAAGGAGCAGCATGATTCTCACGGCAAAGACGGAACGTGAAAGACTATAAGAATAATTCTGAGCCCACAAGTTCCCCGACGTTTCACGGTATACTCTAGTGAAACCACCGCTCCTCCCCCACCTCCTTGCAATCGCAGAACTTAGAACCAATCAACTCTTGTGAGATGACCGGTAACTTACAAACAAATACTGAGCTTTACAGTGTTTCGTCGTCCCTCACGAACTTTATTTTATCTATATGTAGTATTGGGCGCAGGCCTGATTTTTTTGGTCTAGAAGGTGTTTCTGTCAAGTATAAGAAAGTTCATGGTGGCACCAGATGGGCAAAGGGATCACAGACTAAATACATGAGTAGCGCATGGCCCAAGCTGTGTCGAGACCATTGCCTATTACTTGCCATCATTTGCAGGACGCACCCATCCACATCCCTTTGGGCATTTTTGGCCTCGCTGAATGTCCGCCCCATCACATCCAACCGTAGCACAGCCCGTATAAACGCTTTCCGATCCCTGAGGCATCTTTTCTTGAGGAGTGTAAGCGGAACATGTTGGACGTGACTTGCCACCTGGTATAAACAATTTCAACTCTTACCTTGGTATGGAGATATGGATAGCGAATTGTGACTGGTATAGACAAGTTAGCTTGAATAACGCATATGGATTTGTTTTCGCTCACTTATGATAATATGGGGTTGATAGGTGAGAGGCAGAGGATGAGGATTGGGTCTGGTAGAAATGCTCCTAAAGGGCGGGCGTGTCATTGTTTTTTTTACAGCAACAGCAAGCCACAGTAGTAGCCTTGCGAGGTTTGTTACGATGCATCCGTACGCATTTTAGAACATTTTCACAAAAACTTCGAGGATGATACACGGACTTGTCGAACGATGCTCGAATTTTACTTAGCGCCCATGGGCATGGGAACTAGATCATCTAGGTACTGGCCAGTAAGGCAACTTCGCTTGACACTTCTTTGGAGTTACATGAATCAGCTGTCTCACATATATTTTAAGACCCCGCTTTGTGTATCACCAGGCCGATTGGATTAACCGGTTATTTTCCATTTGATGGTCATTCCTTGTCACCCAGGCAATTTGGCGCTATACCCCGCCTAATGATTGGCATTAATGCAACATCTTAACACGAAGAATATAATACGAACTTCGGTGCAGCCACCAGAAGAACCTGTTTTCCTTAAGATTGTCGGACGGAAAAAGCGTCTGAACTGCTATTAATGCATCTAAGCGGCAGGGATGGGATATCTGTGCCCGGGCACAGATATCCCATCCCTGCCGCATTAGTGTCCAAGCCACACACACATCTTTCCGAATGAGGAGAAGCTCAAACTAGAACCTGTCACATGAGCGCAGCAACTCTAGTGGGAAATTTGAGGTTCTTCCCTTTATCCAAACTTCACATCACTCCTAAGATGGGATTTCGAGTAAGTCGTTCAAATACAGCCGAAATCAACCTTTGCTGATTCATAATAGGTTGACCGAGCATTACGTGCTACCCTTTCGCATCTCGAGCTATTACTCCGTGAGGCGGGTGACAATGTGTGACTCTCAGATTTATCGTGGATTCAGTTACTGACTCACCTAGGAAACCGGCGACCTACTGAGAAAGATACTTGAATCCCCAGAGCAGATAACTGCTCTTCATCAGATATTCGCCTCGAACTTGAAGCAGACGATTCGGGATGACTCTGCTTTCTCTGAGCGTCGATCATGGTTCCAGAGTTTCTCATCACAATCTGGAGAAAATCTGGATGAGAAGCAAGTGAATAAACTTACCAATATTACGAAAAACTGGGCTCTTTCAGAAGAGAGAGTTGAAGCTCTCCTGTTATACTCAGTCCTCTGGTCTAGCTGTCCGCAGCTGTTCTGGGATGGCGATATCCCTGACCAAAACATATTCCGACGCTGCTTTGTTGACCTGGAACGGATCAGAGAGATTGATCCATTGAGAAGAAAGATTTTGTTAATCATCTTCTCACAACATATCCAAGGAGAACAGTATCAATTGCGTATCAACGGTAAAAGACAAAGATCCAGGCCTAAGCATTCAAACACGAACATGCCAAATGTCCACAGACAAAGAATGTTTCTTCCAAGCTCATTACGTGCCATTGTGCAAAGGCTTTGGCCAGACGCTAATGTCGCGAAGCAAAGAAAGACAAAAAAGTCGTTCTCACTGTATTCTCGGTTCGGATGGAAATGGCAGCACATTGAACCTCAAGGAATTATCCTTTCTCTGCCTGACTCCGCCGCGAAAAGGTATATATGCTATTCTTTGATATTAAATAGATATTGACTCTCTTAGTTTTGAAATACATCCATGGAGTTCAGTCGAATTTGAGGCTATCAATCTATTCGTGAAAACACTACCTCAATATCGAATCCAATCTCATTTACAGCGGGCCATGGGATCGCTCATATCTCACTATTATACGAGAGCACAACTAGAGACTGCAATCCATAATACTCTTCGAACAACAGCAGCTAAAACGCCTGTACGGCTCAGCCAACATACTGAGAGCATGAGCGACCAGTATAGATCGACTATTTCACACATACGTAGGTTTTGATCTATTCTCTTCAAAGTAAACAATGCTGACATTCCCTGGGTTTCGATCCACAGACTCTTTAACAACAGAGCAGACGAAAAGACCTGTTTCATTTCCAGACGGATCTGATAAAAGGTCAGAAGCTCATGCTTCCGATCAAAGAGAGATTGGGTTCTCATCAGGGGGTGAACAGACAGCTGAAACTCTTTCAAGTATTATAGCAAGCTCAAATTGCAGCCTCGATGGAGAGCGGCACCGACAATTTTATCAAGAATCCCCAAGCTCTTCAATGAGTCTCTCCCATATATCAGCATTCCCGGAAAGACACCAATACCCTGAAAACCGAACGCCAGCAATCTCCCTTGAGACGTATCAGATAACCTCTCCTCCTATCAGCCCTGAGATCTCACCAAGAGCCAATATAGTCCTTGAACCTTTAGTGAATCCACCTTTGTCCTCTCAACCAACCTCAATTTCACAATATACGGGTTACGGTAAAACTTTCGCGGCAACTTTGATTCTATAACAGTCTCTAGACTGGCACGTCCGTCATGAGTCGCGTCAACAGTCTACCCCCCCATTTAAGAGCAGATACATTGCTGAATACGGCCAACATACTACTCACAATCCTTTCTATACCTTCAATGATACGAGTTTCGCAATAAATAGCATTTCGCAAGGGGATTCCATTACCCCAAATATCCCATGCATCAATGATACGAGCATCGCCATACAGTGGTTTGCCTCGGAGCCGGAAAGTCCAAGGATAATGAGCAACTTCAGTTCCATCAACATGCCTGAGCTTCAACCAAATTAGCACCAAGTGAATCCCTGGGTATCAAATGACACAAGCGCTGCTCTGCTCGGAATCGCCCCAGGGAACGAAAACACTGTCCCTTTATCAGGTTTCAATAAAAAACCTCTTTATCGCTCTTGTATACTCGCATAGCGATTGTCCAAGACATCATCTGCCAACAAACTATTCAGTAACTCCTGTGTAGAAAACGCAAACTCTTCAATGTTAGAGATTTCATCATTGTATCAAAATGCGCTCACTTACCGAGCTCTTGAACTTACCAAATCAAATGTATGCGACGAACATGCATTGTGCAAGTGTTGTATCCGTGTAACAGCATTGAGATATATGGAACAACCGCAGCAAGGCCTGAGCCGTAGGCTACCATTATAACGTTTTCATAGTTTCTCACTGGTTCACTGACCCCATGCAAGCCGCTATATAGCGCTAGAAGAGACAAAGATGTCTCAGTTTCAACTCCGTTCATCTGGCGCGATAAAGCCGCAAACTACCCTTTACGAGGGCTAATGAGCAATTCCTCAGTTGATCACGCACATTCCCTGACGTAGATGCTGGAAAGTTTTGTTCAGTCAGCCTCAAATTATCCATGATGTCAAGTTATACTCGGGTAGCGTGCGTAATCTGATAACCAAATTTAAAGATGGGCAAAACCCGAACCGTCCACTATCGCCCGCAAGTGCTTGTTATCAGCCAGGTGCAAAGGGCGAAGAGGGCGGATCGGAAACGATTGTGTTACAGAGGCCTATACGACGGATGAAGGATGAACCTCCAAAGAGCCGGGTTCTATGTTAAAAAGGCTTGATGAAATCGACCCACACGGAACCACAAGCAATGAATCCTTTTTGCAGGATAGAGTTATGTATCCACACTCACAGAACTGAGCCCGCTACAACTTAACACCTTAATACTTGCTGTACCGCAAAGGCCGCATATTAGGTGTGTAATACTACTTATTCATGTATCTCCACAAGATGATAGTCTCACGTTCAATATCATGTGATGTACCGTACCTTTGTGGAACTACGTGTTTGGCAGTGACGCAGATATATATCCAAGGTTCCGCTTATTGGGGCTTTGCTAGTTGTGGCAATTCCAAAATTGGAATAATATGTGTTAGTTTAATTCTGGCTGTCGTGACTGTCGGCTGATTCCTCTCTAGATTCTATTCGATTCGGAACGCAATATCTCTGGAATTTGATAGACCAACCACATGCATTGCCATAGGGTGGAGCGAGATGTCGAATGCGGCTTTTTGGATTCAGCTGCGAGAAAAGGACATTGCACAACGACGGGTTACCTAGGAGGTATTCGACGCTGATAATGGGGAAATGGTTTCTGTAGAACTGTGTTTTTGATATTTTGCTACATATAGCTTCACAAGTGCTCTGCGTAGCTAATTCGAACCCTCGCAGAATATATCGATTTTCGTGGTGAGTTTCATACTGGGATAAACGTCAAATTTACCAAACAACGATTTATTCTTGTGCCTCGATAAAAGTTAGAGAACTTCCTATAATTTGAGGCAAAGTCCAGAAATAGAGAAATTAAAGAGACATGATTGATTGATTCTTGAAAGAAGTGAGAAGCAAGAGAGACCCTCAATTCCTGGAACTATCTAAGTAGTGTGGGTGCCTGAACTCCGTGACTCCCCAACAGACATCGGTTTACGCTCGCTCTCGCTTTTTAATCATGGCTGGTATTCCAGTTCTACCACATGCACCCGTTCATCAAGTTGTTGACGTAGTGCTCCTCTCAATAGATCCCGCACAATCCCCGAGGCGGACGCTGGAATATCAAATCCAACCAGCAGGTGCGTACAAAAGAGATGAGCCAACTTAACCATGAAAAGTATTTGGACCTTTTCCTCCCTAAGATAAGGTACTCTTTCAATCGTTTCCCCCGAAGCCTCCAATGTGCCCTCCTTGCTACCGATTATCTCGCTACTCACCGACAATATCACAGGCCCGTCAAGAAGGTCGGCAATGATGTCCCCTCTTTCTGTCAATCTCAGTATGTTTCTGGAGCATTACGTGGATATGCAAAATAGGAAGACCCGCCACTTATAGCCCATTCAAACTCCAGAGGTTCAAGTATTGTTGAACATCATCGATGCATACTATTGCTTCACGTATGCTTTTGACAGCTTCCGACTGAACAGATAATTGGTCAAGGCCTTTTTGAGGTGAGCTTTGCAAGACAGAAGTATTGGCCTCTTCAACTGACTCACGTGTTGGCATATGTAAGCCTTCTAAAGCAGATATCGCCTGGAATAGGTCTTTTGAGGCATGAACACTATGCGAGCAAGAAACAGGCTGTATGTAGATCCGTGCTCTCAAAGACAAGAGAAGCAATATATAGATTCAATGCTGAAATTATCGCTGGAGACCCAGTTTTCAGCCCTTGAGAGCCATTGTATACTATTGTCTGCAATCTCCGGATCGCTCCGAGTTGCCCCATTCCATTCTTACAAAGTGGTGGCAATTTGGGCATTGAAAATTAGTAATCAGGCGCAGTGCGCCCCTTAAAACCCCTGTCATTCGCCACTCACCATTGCTGGTGGCAACTATGCTATACCTTACGACTGAAATTCAAGCAAAATTAACCCCTGATCAGCTTATAACCAACGAGCGAAATGCAAAACAAGATATCAAAAGTTGAGGAATGTGAAGAGAACCAAACGAAGTGGCTCCCCGACGAGAGCTCAACACAGGCATCAGTCTTGACTGTTGTTAGACACTACCTGACCACGGAAGAAGCAACTCAAATCATTCAACAATTTCGATCCAAATCTTGGCATAATAATCGTCAGGTACTTTGGAGCGGTATGCTACGTGAAAATGCTCAAAAGTGGGCTGATGAGCATGAAATGCAGACACTGACTACGGCCATGGGTCCACTGATGATGCCAGAGCACCCGCTTTGTCTTCAATCCAAAAAGACTGCGCATTCCTGGAGAGAATATATACATGGCGCGTCGGCTATATTTGCTTGGCATATAGCCAGAGGTGAAACTGTTACAGTCTTGTCGCCGCCGCCGCCAGACCGCTTTAATCCGTCAGGATTAACATATTACCAGTTAATCGAACAGCCGATTATCAAGGGAGCTATCGACAACGTCTCCGTAGACCGCATTTGCCTGGTCCACCCGATGGTGAAAAGAGCGGAGGAACTCTCGTACCAATTTTAGCCGGATGATAATATGTCGACCTGGATTAAGCAGTTTGGATTGCGGCCGGGGCCTAGGAAATGGAGGGCCACCGGTAAACACAAAGGTAAACTGGAAATCAAGAACATGCTAGGTTTGCACGATGACCCACCCCATTCTCCCATCACATCAAAATCGTCACCCATCACAAAAGTAAGCCTGCAAGGCTTTGCTGAATGTCCGTCTTTTTTGTCCAAGTTTAGAGGTCAAAATCCTCTTATCTGCTGTCTAAATTTCTAGTCGAACGGGGATAGTATTCAGCTTTACCTTTGTATGCTTGATTGACCAAGCGTCTTACTTCTATTCAAAGCTTTGTTGTGTGCTGATATCGACTTGCGAATTCGTGACGGTTGGCTTTCCTGGAAGAGGGGCAGATCGGCACATTAGCCATAAAGGCTCTCCGCTTAAATTTTCATTGAGCAATACAATGCTAACGACGTCAAACTAGAAAATGCTAAACACAAAGCCGGCTGGGAAGAAAGCCAACGTCGAGAAGAAAGCCAAAATCAACAAGAAAACCAAAATCAACGAAAAAGCCAACGTCGAGAAGAAAACTCAAATCAAGAAGAAAACCAAAATCAACAAGAAAACCAAAACCAACGAAAAAGCCAACGTCGAGAAGAAAACCAAGTTGAGAAAAAATACTAAAATCTAGTTCAAGTGGGCTTCTGAGAAAGAATGACTGAACAATACTACTGTCTTTATCAATCCCAGTTTTACTGGTGGTACTGTTACAGTCGTAAATTCTACTGAGGTTTGACTATATTTGAATTGAAAGAATTCTAACCTCGTAAAAGATGGAACTACTATTGAACGTAGGACTAGCAGGATGGTCGCCGCTCCCACCCCATTTTGTTTTCATTCTTCAAAGCCGCACTAGTCGACCGACCCGTCGACTGCTTCGCCCTCTGATACCAGCCTGCACCGTCGTTATTTCAATTTTCAGCATTGAAGCCGTCGCACTGGTCGGTGTTCTCATCAAAGCGCATGAACTCTATAAAAAGATCATCTTTCGAGCTCATATGCGAATCTTCAAAGCTGGTCGGCACCGATGTGGTGAGAAAATAATCCTCTGAGCTTGGCAATGTTTCATCACTTAAGTTTTCGAAAGTAGTTTCTGCGGGCTCTAGGTTAAGCTGCGACTTCCTTTTCCGATTTATACAATTCGACCGAGGCTCTTCGATTGAATATATATTAAAGAAGTGCTGTCAGAGATGTAAAGTATTAATATACTCCCTTTCTTCGTAGTATAGATGAGGGTAAAACATAGTAGCTGAAGAGTCTGTTAACCCTAAGTATTTATCGATATGATTTAAAAGAGTTCCTTTTGTAACCTATTGTTAAAATCTTTCGTCTGGCTTCTTACTTTTATCGCTTAAGTAGAAGGGATAAAAACCTAGGGTAACGAGTGTAGAGTAGAAGGTGACGGAAAAACGGTGGTAAGGCGAGTGTATTTGTGGCAGAAAAATCTCAATGAATTCTCTAACTCTCTAAAACATGACAATCTGATGGACAACTTAGTAATCAAAACAAACAAAATAAAAGAAAGGGTGTTTTTCGGCAGTCTATATCCTTTCTATTAACTAGGAACCGCTCTCTAGGCTTTATAGGGAGGTCCTATTTTACTATTAGGGTAGTTCTAATATACTTTTATTTTTCTTATTAGTAGTAAGCCTTAGAGAAGGATAATTATCCGGGAGAGGGTTATACCATATCATCAGGCTTGCGTGTGCGAAATGGATCTCCTCGAGATCGCGATGTCCAACCATAGATTTTGGTTCCAGGATGGTCTGGAACGATACCTTATTATCACGTGACATTTGAACCCATTTGAACCCCCTTCCTCAGCGAAATAAACGACCCATATTCCAGGACACACTTCTCACGACAACTGAGATTACTCCGCCAGGGCGTTTCCTTGAGTCTTCCCTTCGCCGCCTATGGAAGAGAAAGCATTGTCGAGAAGTGCTCAACGCGTGCTAGACTGCTTAAGCTCCATAGAGCAGGTTACAGGCTACAATTTTGGTGGCAGCACCGGCTAGCTTTAGACGATTATACGGATGTTTTACGCGTACTACAAAGTGACAGTCCTCTCTGAGGCTACATGGAAGATAAATTAAGGTGAGTACTACCATGCATCACTATACTGAAGGCATATTCCTTCAGCTATATAATAGATACGACTACGATCCTTGTCGTTGCTGCCTAACTATCGGAATGCTAAGTCCTGTCCATAATGTCTTCTGTGCAAAAATAGTCGAGCAGATCTTACGACAACTCAAGCGGTTTGAGCGGGGAAAAGTACCCTGCGCCGATTTTGCGAAGGAGATTGGGCATTCTAGTTCCCGAATCTCGATACCTGACGAGATAAGAAATGGAACGCAGATTTATTCTAAACGGGAACCAGACGCTTCATTTAAGCACCGGAGGGCACGTTATCCCGGTATTATTATCGAGGTATGCTCTTCACAAGAAGTCTTTATAACATCGAGACAGCTTTGTGACTTTCATTCGTGCGCCGAAGAAGAATAGCAACTGCAGATGCTTCAGCAGGGCTCTACCAATCGACTACGCCCGGGTGATAGAAAGCGTCCTCGACCTCAAACCCCTCCGGAACAGCCAAGTTTGGAAGAGAGAAAAGGGGAAAGTAAATGTGGGCGTCGAAGCAGCGATCTTTGTCCGAATTCTTCGTCTGGATATTCGAAAGGTGAGCTGGGTTAATTATTGAATACATGGAACAATCCGTGAAGGATATATCTTGTTTGTAAGTATATGCCCTATAACTAACTAACGATCTCCTAGTTATGAGATAGTCATTTTTGCAATAATTCCAAGCTTTCAATGATTCTTTCCCCACCCCTACGGATCTGCTACTGAGCTCCTCAAACCTAGAATATATCGACTCTCAAGGCCCTGCTATATTCCCTTTCTCGATGTGGACCAGAAGACATACTAAGCTCCTCAAAAGTCAATGTAAGTTGCAATCTACCCTGAGAACCAAAATAGTCTCGCAAGTACTCACCATTTTCCCTAAAGCAGCATACAAGATTATAAGAGCAAGACATAAACACTCCCCCACATCTCGGCCCGTGGTGGGGACCTTTGCGTCAGCCAAACCATGTCATCTCTCTAGATACGCGGGATCAAGTTTGTTTCAGGCGCATTCTCAAGAGTCTCATTTCCTTTTGAAAAGGAGATGAATGGAAATACAGTTCTCTATTGAAAAGCTTGCGGCAAGTTTCACCAGAATGAGATGGATGTGTTCATTTTACAACTTCAAACTGCAATTCCGCAATTCCGCAATTCCGGTCGCATATGCTAACGACGGAATGATGACGGACTTTACGACTAGTCCATGCAGTCCACGCATCCGCCCAACAAATAAAGCAATGATCTCCATCGAAGGAAAGGATACTTAAGACACTGTGGCGCTCATTCTCGATAGTGAGGAAACAACCACGATGGGACCGCCGACCTCGAAAGTAGCCCTCGTCACTGGTGCCAACGGCATCAGTGGGTTTTCCGTCATAGAGCATCTTGTTCGCCAGTCAAAAGAAGAATGGTTTGTATCAATTCCGATACGCGGTCTGTATTTATTCACTGGATCTCACGGTTCCTTAGGTCCAAGATTGTCGTCACTTCCAGACGCCCCCTGCCCAATGCCTGGGTCGACCCCCGAGTTGAATTCCTGGCTATTGATTTTCTAGACCCAGTGGAGGATATCATAGCCAAGATGAAGGACATCTGTGCTAATGTCACTCACGCATTCTTCACCTCCTACGTCCACAGTGACGATTTCAAATTGCTTCGCGAAAAGAACGTCCCGTTGTTTCGTAATTTCCTCGATGCAACTATCTCATCCTGCAATAAGCTCCAAAATGTTTCGCTTCAAACCGGAGGCAAGGTAAGCACAGCCCCTTTGTTGTTTTATCCGACTGTGGTTGGCTAATCGAAATTAAATAGTATTATGGTGTGCATCTTGGGCCTGTGAAGGTCCCCTTGGAAGAGTCTTTCCCGCGATACGATGATCAGGGATACAATTTCTACTATAACCAAGAGGACTATCTCAAGGAACTCCAAGCGCGTGATAGGACCTGGTCCTACAGCATCATCAGACCAAATGCCATTAACGGTTATGCTCCAAATGGTGAGCTCACCCCAGACTGTTCTAGGAAATTCTAACACCATATCAGCCAATGGAATGTCGGAAGTTCTTACAATCATTATCTATATGCTCATTTGTCGGGAGCTCGGCCAGCCAGCAAATTTCCCTGGAAATGAGTATTTCTGGAACTCGATCGATGATAACTCATACGCCCCAAGTGTAGCAGATCTGACTGTGTTCGCTGCCTCTCACGAAAATTGCAAGAATGAGGCTTTCAACCATGTGAATGGTGATATCTTCGTTTGGAAGTATATATGGCAAGACTTTGCTGCGTATTTCGGTATCGAGGTTTGTATTCATACCCTTTATCTTGATATGTCAATCTCCTCTAACTAAAACGATGTAGGTCCAGAGCCGAACTTCGTCAAAGCCTGTCGAGCCGATGCCCTTTCAAACGAGATCGACATGGTGGAATGGGCCAAGGACAAGCGGGGTGTCCGGGAGACCGTTGTGAGCAAATATGGTGGCAAAGTTGAAACCTTCGATTGGGGCACTTGGGGATTCTTCAACTGGGCTACTGGCAAATCCTGGCTTACCATCTCATCCATCAACAAAGCCAGACAATTTGGTTGGCAGCGAAATGACAGGACCTTCGACACTTGGATTGAAACATACCGCTCCTTCGAAAATGCAGGAGTTCTGCCCTCGCGTGCGGCGTTACTCGGGAACTAGTCATATCTCACCGTCCCACGGCTATACTAAGTCTATATTCCTCAGCTATTGTTTCTTCCCCTATAGTACTATGTCAATTACATACGACCATAGGGTGTGGAAAACAGGGCTTCCCGTCCGCTCAGCCGTACTTAAGCCACACGCCGGTGAGTTAGTAGTTGGGTGGGTGACCACCAGCGAATCCTCACTGTTGTATGTTTTTGTTGTTATTATACAGGATGGGGCGATGTTATGATATTGTGAATGTTAAAGTATTTCAAAGTGCTAGTTGAAGTACTGTGTGACGTTCCAGCGTGTTCTGCCATTTGGCACCGTATAGATCACGAGGGGTTTATGCCTGAGGAACCAACTTTGCGGCCTAACAACACTTACTAAGTTCCACACAATTTCACACAATTTCATGGAACTCCATGAAAATCCATAAGCTTCCGTAACCAGATAAAATCTCCATAACTAATAATCAGATTTCCGGGACCTGACATAGTTAATCCTTTAAGCCTGACACATTTAAATACTAGTAACTACTTGCTGGATGGGGGTTTGCATGGCAGAATTGGGTATAAAAAGGCGGTAACTTGCTGGCAGCCTAGAACAAAGAAATCCACTTAGTATGGATGGCCCCCGCGCCAGCCGCGAAATTGGATAATCGAAGAAATAAAAAAAAATTCCACTTTCTGTCTCCTGCTTGTCGTACGACTTTCGTCAATATGACATTGCAATTTTTGGCGGGGCTAACATTCAACAATGTGTTCCAGGCTGCAAGAGGCCTCAATAACACTGTTCTCAGCGACCGACATGTCCAGAAGACAGATTTACAAGGGAAATGGGTGATCATCTCTGGCTCCAACAATGGTGTTGGACTGGAGGCGGCCAAGTCATTCGCTGGATGGGGAGCAAACCTGATCCTGGCCTGCCGCGATCCACCTGAGGAACTCGGCGAACTTCATCCCACAGCAGCCGTGAAAGAATGCCAGCGTCTTGCCGAGGCGGAGGGTCATATCTCAATAATACAATGGTGGGAGATAGATATGGCAGATTTCAAAACTGTCGAGGCTTTTTGCGAAAGATGGTTGAAGAGTGACCGTACTCTAGATATCCTGTGCAACAATGCGGGATCTCCATCTACCGCTAAAACTCGAATGACGAAGGACGGGTTCCAGCTAGTTCACCAAGTCAACTTCTTATCTCATGTGCTACTTACCCTCCGACTTCTACCCTCTCTGGGGCGCAGCGCGGATCCCCGAATCGTGTGTACCACATCATGCGTCCATTACTTCGGTGTCTTCGATCTAGATCATTTCAATGGTGGCCAAGAAATGAGAGGGAACGATTACGACAACAACAAGCTATATTTCCAGATGTGGCTCGCAGAGCTGCAGCTCCGTTGCCTCAAGCACCCGGAGTACTCTCATATCAGAATCAACGGAGTTCATCCCGGTTTTGTCGCTTCGGGAATCTGGCATGCAAACGACTTGAAGAGCAATGACATCTCGATGCGAGCTCTGGTATTCTTCTTACGTTATGTCGCTATCACTCCGCAACAAGGTAGTCTGGCAATTACAAATGCGGCAACCAGCCCGGAGTGTGGGCGAACTACTAGTGGTGGAAAATATCTCAATCGTATTTGGGAAACGCTGCCACATTCCTATTGTCAAGACTCAGATGCACGGTCCAAGTTGTGGATTAAGCTGGATCAGGTCCTCCATCTCCGGGAAAAGGGTCTTCTTGAGGTTCTTGCTCTTTGACCTACTGCTTTGTTACTAGCATATGATCAAAATGTCTTCAGCTCGACAGTTATTTAACCAGAGATTAGTTCGACCACAATTGTAACGTGTTATATTGATATCCAAATGCCTCAAAGTCTACTATCTCCCAGCATCATATTTCAATATCTAAATCTCGTAAAGTGGGAACTATGTCGGTCAACTCGGTGATGATCTATCTCATCCCAAGCTAACTTTTTTACCTTAGTAGCAGCCTCGCTTATGAGGTTCGGAAATTTTAGGCTAAAAGGAGAACTTGAAGTGAGCTAGGTTGTCCCTGTCTTTCATCGTCCCTAAAAAGAGACCGGATATACCTAGGCTTCGGGCCCCGGGGACTGGGCCTTGTGGAATCTGACACAATCGTCATCCAGTCAGACACAGGAGCATTTGGCTTGACCTGTCATTCCCACGTAGAAGAAAAGAAAAAAGAAAAAGAGGGACCCAGTCTACTTAGTCAGATTGCACAGAATAATCTATCCGCCGTATTCTTCGCTCTGTTGGAACTTATGCTTAGCCTAAGAAGCCCCCTGAATGCATGTACCAGTTACGCAGTTGTTCAGTGACAGGGAATCTCACATCTAGTCAGACATCCAGAAGATGTTGAATATGATTTTGACAGCTTGTTTGTCAGTCATCATTTTGAAAGTTCAATTTGAAGGCTCAAAAGCCGTATGACTACATTCTACTTGGTATAAAGCGTAGGAATAGACTACCTGGAAAACGTATTAATCTCGCCAGCACCAGCGCCAAGCCTCACGAGGAAACTTGAAGGATAGTACGACGCGAAAGAGACTTACAATTCCAGAATAACCATCCAAGTCACCGGTCAAGACCATGGGGATCTCTGGTGGAGACAAAATCCTTGTCTCCAAAGTCTTTCTGGGGAGTCCAGATAGTTTAGGTGAAATTTCTATTATTCTACGGAGAAAGTTTAGTCATGTATTAGTTGTGATAGAATACAATTTCTTTGGTAAAGGTATCTGTGAGCCATTTGTTCTCTTTTGATCTCAAAGGAAAACAACTGCATTGCAGAAATTGAGATAGAGTAGAAATGAAAACAGTCAGAGTCGTTCATCTTCCACTAGTAGAAATATCACAGTAGGCAAGAATTATACAAGAATTATAATCTCAGCATCCTTTGTACAAAGAAGAAGAAGAAGTTTTTTTTTTCATATAACATTCCTCTTCCAAGCAAAGCAAGGGCAAAGAAGATACCTAATTTGCCCCAGCGTTGACTAATTCCCCAAATCTCGATCCAGCCAGCCCTCTGAGTACTTCAGGATTTCCAATTTCCACAATTTTTCCCGTATCTATAACTACCACCCGATCAAAATCCATAATCATCTCCAGCCGATGCGCTACCGCAATCACGGTGAAGCCCTTAAATTCCGACCGGACAGTATCTTGCATCACCAGTTCAGTCTCCTGGTCTACACTTGAACTCGCCTCATCCAATAGTAAAATGCCTCCGCTGTTCTCATCGTTGGAAAGCTTGGCCCGAGTCGTCCGACGCAGCAGCGCCCGTGCCAGCGAAAAAAGCTGCCTTTGTCCGGCGCTGAATGTCCCTGCATTCATGGGTGCTTCTAGGCCGCCGAGTTCCTGAATAAATGACCTTAACCCCAAAACTTCCAAGGCTGCTGTGCATTCTTTAGAGGTGCAAGTGAGGGATGGGTCCAAGTTTCTGCCGAAGGTGGAGCCGTCCGGGAGGAAAACAGGATCTTGAGGAACTGCAACGAGACGTTCTCGAAGTACAATGCGGTTGATGAGGTGGAGGGGGGTATCATCGATGGGAATTTTGGTCTCTTCATTGCTTGTGGCGGGGAGCGGATCCAGAAGTTTGAGAAGGAGAGCGATGAGGCTTGATTTGCCACTGCCGGAACGACCGCAGATAGCAATCCTTTCGCCAGCTTGAATGGAGAGGTTGACGTTATTGAGAGCAAAGTTATCTCCAGTGGTGCTGAGGGAAAAGAAAATCGATGGATATAGTTAGTTTGGCATAAATTCAGGGACTTGGCTGACTCTCACTTGTATTTCGCGGATACACCTTTCAACTCAACTGTGCCGCGTTGAGACCACTCCTCACCCGGAATAATATCCTCATATTCTCGGTCCTCCGGTATGACAGTCTCATTAAAGCTCTTGAGTCGCGAAATTGCGCCGATGGAGGTTTCCAGCTTAGTATAGAAGATGACTGTGCCAGAAAGGCTATCCCCGAAGCTCATGAGGGAATATAAAGATGCACCAGCGAAGGCGGTACTCGAATGGAGGCGCACGGCAAGGGATGTCATGACTACCGCGATCACCATGACAGTGATGTTAAGCACTAGATTTAGCCACTCTTGAATCATCGGGAGGAGATATGCCGGACGTTGGCTGGAATTAACCAGCTGAGCATTCTTTTGGAGATCATCAGGGAGAAAGCCTGTTTTGAGGTGAAAACTATTAGCTGAGAGTACATATAAGTTATCACACTGAATGCATAAATCTTTATCACTAACCAAAGGCCCTCAAGGTCACAATGCCCCTGACTATGTCAAGGAAATGTGCACTGCATAGAAAAATAAAGGTCAGTATGTGGCATACCGAGCAGTCCGAGCAGTCTACAGCTCGGAACCGGTATTATTGGCTTATAAGCTTACTACAGCGGACTTTTAGTCTCCAAGTCTAAAAGCCTTAGTTGTCGGGAGGTTCGCATGTAGAATCTTTGTACAAGAAACAAGAAACCACCAAGGAGCGGATAGCTGATGGCAAGATACGCCGACGAAGTAAGCATAACAGCCGCTTGTCCAATTGATTGGAAGACCTGTACATTTTTGTCAGAATAGATTGTGAGCCAAATATCTCGATACATTCACAAACTTACACAAAACTGAGTGTTTAACAAAGCATCTGGTAGCTCTGTGTCTATAAGATTCAGATCTTGTGAGAACAGGTTAGTGACGATACCAGTATCTGTGTTGGTGAAAAATGACAGCGGTGCCTGAATCAGGGTGGTGGGAATGCTCTGGTGCAGGTTAGCACCTGCTCTCTTCACTGAAACGATGAGAATAGTGGTTCCCAGAAGGAACAGTGCTATCATCGCGCAGATTTGGAGCACCGCATAGACCCCGACGTAGTAGCCTTTGGAATGGTCAGGATGGGCAGAGGCAACGGAGTCACTCCAAAAGCTGAGCCCTTCGAATCAGTGACGTTAGTTCCATTGCAACGTGATGTTTATGACCGTTCAGACGGCTTACTCCGGAATAGATCGCAAATATACTTACAGATTGATGGGAAGTTGGTGAAAACCCCCCAAAGAGTTCCGAAGAACAAGCTGCATGCCACGACAAACCATCCCATGTTTTTCAAATAGTGTTTAAATACACTTCCATCACCTGTCTGCCGTGCCGAGATCTGTTCTGGTGCTAAAGATGATGCAATCATGTCACTTGCTGTCGGCAACTGGGCTAGTTCAGACTTGGATGCTTCAACCTCGCTCCGAGTCGGAGGGACCGATTCCTTCCTCATAGACTCGCGGTCAGAACCACCATTCAGCTTGAGCCGTTGAATATATCCTTCACGACTTGACAAATCATCAAAAGTGCCTTGCTGCACAACGAGGCCATCCTCAAGTGCTATAATCTGATCTGCAGCAGGTAGGTGTCTGATATTATGGGTGCACAGCACCACCGTTGACTTTCGTTTTCTGAGTAGGCCATCGGCTCCAAAAACTCTTTGGAAGACTTTCGTCTCGGTATCCGCGTCCAAGCCGCTGAATACATCATCTAAAATCAGTAGTTCGGAATGTAGATACAGGGATCGTGCAAGGGAAACGCGTTTCTTCTGCCCCCCAGAAAGGGCGATGCCATTTGAACCGATATTTGTACGGTCTCCTTAGGGTAGGGTCGCCAAGTCGACGCTTAGAGCCGTAGATTCGATGACTTGGTCATATAGCTCGCGATCAAAGATGGAAAATCCAATTATATTGTCTCGGATGGTCCCATTCCAAAGAAAGGCAGTTTCATCACAGAAACCAACATGTCGGAAGTAGGTGCTTATTGTCACGCTTCCCTCGCAGAAAGGAATCTCCCCTAGGATTCCTTTACAGAAAGTTGACTTACCCGAGCCCACAGGACCAATAACCATCGTCAGCGATGACGTAGGAATTTGAGCGCTAACGTTCTTCAGGACGAACTTCCCTGCTTTCCATCCAAGGTTAGCATCTTTGATGATAATGCACATTTCAGATCTGGAATCTATCAAAACTTCGAGGTCTGCCGGGATCTTTTCTTGATCTTGCCGTAGATGATCAAAAACTTGGCGAAAGTCATGACGGGGCTCGTGCTCTAAAAAGGTCTGAATGCGGCCTAGGCACGCCAGGCCCGAAACAATGTCAGGAATTGACTGAAAAAGCTGCAACAGTGGACTGGTCAACAAGTTCAAGAAGGAAAGGCTCGTGAAAATTGTCGTAGAATCAAGCTTGCGACTTGTAATTGCAAATGTCACTGGTGGATTGATAAGCTGGGACATAAACGCGAATGCCGCTGCAATCATGAAGATTTGGCGGAATCGGGCACCAGCTGCGAGTTCATCCACACGGAGTTGCTGTATATAGTCACCCACCGCAGTCGTGAGTCCAGATATCTTTACTGACTTCATACTAGCGATAACTGTGGCAGTTAAGCCCACCCGCTTTTGAATCCCCGACATCCATGATCTTTGTGAATCGCCGGTAAAGTGGATGAGAATACCCAAGCCGAAGAAACAAGCGAAAATTACCCCCATTGGTGCAAGAAAAACAACCCTAAGTCGCTCATACAGCATCCAACTCGCAAGAGCAGCCTGAAAAATACTCGCCCAAGTCTCATGCACATAAAAGAGTCCCATATTAATGCGCTCCATGTCTGTGCTCATCAAGGTCAACGCAGCGCTATCATCACTGGACCCAGTCTGTGCCCTTGTGGCCGCCGCAAAGGTCTCAGTTACCAGTATAGACCGCACCATTGTACGAAAACGATGGTGGAAGTACCTGGAATTCATTAGCATACATCGCTTCTTGAAATCTCTTCGTTAAACGAGACAGGGGTCAAAAACTTAAAAGCACCATACCAAGACAAGGCATATGAGATGGCAATCCCGGAGTATATCAATATACTAGCACCAATAAGGCCATATCCAACATTTGCGTCAATCTCCGATCCAGAGAGTACAATCAATAGTCTTTCGATAAACAGAGGCTGGCAAAAAGTGAAACCAACCAGTGCCAGTCGTGGAGTGATGGGAAGTAGAAGAGGAGCCTTTAGGGTACGTGCTAGAATTTTTAGGAGACCGAATCGATCTCCTTTGAGCTTGAAGTAATCCATATTGTCTGCGAATTTCTTGTGCAGCGCTTGGGCATCAAAGGAGCTATCCAATGGGTAGAGGTCCTCAACCGCCAAAACGTTTCTGTATCCAGCCATGAACATCTTGTTGAGCCAGAAATAGATACCAAGCGAGAAAATCCCACTAGTCTCCTCGGGGCTGTGCATTTTATCGTCCCAATCCACCCACCTCCTCTTCTCATAGGCTTCTAATAACAAAACTGCTACCTTCAACGCCATAGACACACACATTATAATGCTGTAAGTGAGTTCAGGCTCGTCATCTGATGACATAAATAGTGTTCTTGTTTGGGCTATTTCAAGTATGAGCGTAAGAAACAAGTAGCCATTCAAGATAATAGGTGGTCTTGGACTTCGGCTGTGTTCTAAGACACTCAGGACAAGGATAAGAAGAGCCGATAGAACCCTGAGAACCGAGGAAGCTATGGAAAGACTGGTCACTTGGAGGGACCCAATCGTAGCTAAGACGAGGAGAGCGAGTTCCAAGCTGACATAAATGATGAGAGTGACCTAATAGTTTAGAAGACATGTCACGGCTCAAAGTCAGTTCCGCAGGAGGAAGAGCATACCGACTTCAGAAACAGAAAGGCCGGCGCATTCACCACAGCGGGCTTTCGAGCCTGAGAGAGACTGCGCCATAGGAATACCGGAATAAAAATAGCAGATGGAAGAATCGAGAAAAACACCTGCTCAAATTGGATATCGAAATCGAATCTTGCGTTATTCATCTGCAGTAAGTTCCCAATTCCGGAAGTGAAAGTCATTTTGGGAAGGGCTGTAAGCCGAAGCAAATACTGTCTTTCGTTCTCCTAAAGCAATATAACCTGGCGATAAGGACGAAAAGATTCAACCTGAGGTCCGCTATGATGCAAATTCGTACAAAAGCGAGATCTGGACCGTTGGCACCCAAGTCGCCCCACGACCTGGGCGCCTTGGGGGCCGTTTTCATGCCAAGCCGCTCCAGAACACATCCAGCTCGCTATCAGGAACATATGATGGACCTAATGCCGACCTCGTTCTCTTCTTGAACTGATTATTTTTGATGCTCGCCAGTGCCTATGTCATTTACCCTCTACTTCCGATCCTCTATTTCCGATCTACCTTTACTACCATACTTGTTAACCATGTTTTGAACGTCACTGGACAGTAATTCTTGGTTCACTTTAAAGGTGGATATGCATTAATATAGACAGGACAATATCTGCCTTGGAAAACCCCTGGTCTTTGAATCATCTAGCAGGGGTCGAGCTGACGTGGCAGGGAGGATGGAGGTGGAGCCCAGTTGTTTGAGCCAATAACGAAAACATAATCTAACAGGGGTGAAAGCGAATAGGACATAACTGGGCGCAGGCGCGTAGGAAACAGGAAATATTGAGGATCGATGACTCTGATAATAGGGACCAGGGGCATTTCCTCCCAAGATTGAAATTGTTGAGCGTCGTTAGTAATAGGCATGGAACTGAAAGATTTATTTTGAACTAGGTGACCGTAGACCCAATTCCCTTGCCTTCTGAGGAGAATTCTTGATCTATAGATCATTCTGTGCAGTAGAATGTACAAGCTCACTTTTTTCAAGGGAAGAATTTCGAAAGGTATACAACAGAAGAGAGCAAATAGTTCGAAGGCTATCCACTATACCAATCAACGTCCACCTTGTGACGACAAAGATGAGCTCTACAAGAGTGAATGTTTCGCTTGTTTAATAAGTGTGATCAGTTTGATTGGTATGTGCTATTTGTACTGGGATATATGTATAAGTATAGGCAAATCAGAAGGGCTGTAGCGAGTCTACAGGGCGACAAAGCCATAACAACGAATTGAACCGAAGATATATCATATATCTTCTAGGGCTATATATAGATGCTAAGTGTCGAAATGTTTCCGTTTCAACTTGTAATAGTGTCACTTTAGAAGGTCAGTGCGGGCGTCACGCTACCTAGGGTGATTCTCACCCTGTCCTATAGCGCACTCACCCTTCTCACCCCTGGTCGCGCGACCGTAAAGCGGCGCTCACCCAATTCTCACCCAGTCTATTATTATTGCACTCGGTCTTATCCAAAATCAAATTCTCTTATTCTATCTACCTCTCCAATAATATAACTGATACATACGACCATAGGGTGTGGAAAACAGGGCTTCCCGTCCGCTCAGCCGTACTTAAGCCACACGCCGGTGAGTTAGTAGTTGGGTGGGTGACCACCAGCGAATCCTCACTGTTGTATGTTTTTGGTTTGTTTTAGGTGAGTCTATTTCCGATAGATAGCCGTGCCAAGCGCCTAATACACCTTCCGGGTGTTGGTGCGCCCCAGAGGATGCAAGATCTAGAAATTAGGTATTTCTTGTATGACTTACCTATACAAAAGGTACTTAGGCACCGTGTACATATAACATGCATCTTCTTTAACCTCGTCGAATAAGATAGCTTTGAATATAACTAACAGTTGTAGGTGCGGAATAAAAAAGGGCTTAGTTACTAAGCCTCACAAACATCCATCGATAGGCACAAATCAGGCATATATCTCCAAGCGCACTAGTAAAGATGCGGGCCACTATACTTGATAGATTTCATAATACCATCACCTCATCAGTAACGCTGGGCTTTGAATTTCCGTTGCGAATATATGCTAGAAGGTACAACCTGCTTATGTAGAGTTAACCAGCCTGATGTACCATAGTGGATCTTTTTTGAGACATGATACTCATTCATACGGGTCTGTCTATAGAAACTTGACACTGGCCACGAGATGTTTGAGGATTATATATATCTGTCAGACTAATTGCGAATCATCTTAGTCATTTTGTTGTGATATGAGGCTGGTGCAGATCAGGAAGCAAGCCTACGCAGGCGTATAACGGCCAGGGGTCGGATGCGGGTGACTACACATCAGAGGGGCCCCCCTGATTTCTGCCGTTCTAAAATAAGGCATTAAGGGACCAAGGTCCTCTAAAATTGGGTTTTGACGCCTGACCCCTATACCTCTTCGTAGTCCATGGCATATTCCGCCCTCGTACAACCAATGGCTACATCCCAGTCGCTGTGTCCTATGTACTGGCTGCCGCAAAGGAAAACCGTATGTTTGATCAGAGAATGAGCTGTTTACTGAGCTTACCGTTTCACTAGCGAACAAAGTCATACTTCATTATGGAGACATAATGGACCCTTACTTCCTCTTGGGCCTCTTCAAGGAACACGCCTATGATGAGGTGTACCACCTTGGCGCCCAGAGCCATGTTGAGACATCTTTCAAAGTGCAGCTGTACACATGTGATGTTAATGCCATGGGGACTATGCGCCTCATACAAACAATCTTGACGTTGGGATTGGAAAAAAGCACCAAATTTTATAATGTATGCTTCTGAACGTGACAAGCACTGTCAACTGACAGCTGACAACTGACAATTCAAGGCATGCTCATCCGAGACGTTCGGCCAGACGAAGAATTGCTACCAGAACGAAGCAACCCTTCTTGCCCCTGTATCTCCCTACGCAGCGGCAAAGGCCTCTACCCATTGAATGGCACTCCCTACAAGCCCAGAGCCTCCGGTAACGAGAATTTTGGTATGTTTCTTCATGTTGTACATCGAGAATCCAAGGTTGGATCTTTATGAAGTTCAGTGACTCTTATCGGAAGCTGACTGGAAACTGGTTATATAGTCGACAAAAGAGGGTCACCGTTTTACTAGTGCGCTCGAGAAATATAAAAAGCACACTCTCAGGTACTTAACTGGCTATGCCCGTACTATTCCGTACTGTAACGGCCAAGTTCCGACATAAGCTAAAAAGGCCATCGCGCGGTATGGTAATATTCGAATTCAGTTATAACTTCACCCTCTTACGACTTGATTCCCCAGAAAATAAATTCGACGACCGTGAGTCCTGATAGGACAGGCCATCAAGGCCCTGTTTTTCAGACCGCTATTCAAATCGGTGGGTGTGACTTACAATACAGTAGTAGGACGACAACAATACAGCAGTGTCTACACAATACTTAGACTCCTCGCTTTGAAATTTGGCAGAATGGGTAAATCGACGATTATCAGAGACTCGTCGTGGCTCGAGAACATGTCGTGGCTCAAGTTCTCGTGCCACTGTCAAACCTCTCCCAGATAGCGTGCCACCAGTTCGTCTTGCACCATATGTCTAGGCCTATCATGTCTAGACCTATCATAGAATTTAGCGTACTTCCCTTCCCTAGAAAAAGGCAAACAGAATCCTCACAATGGAATGCAGACATATCTCGGATGCATCAAATGCAAGCATCTATCCCGACAATATGTAGATCTATATATTGATTCAGATACAGTTAACAGGTATACTACATTCTCCAACTATAAAGGGCTATATATCAATATCAATATTTGATGTGACAGCATTTTCTTTCACTTTGCTTTCACTTCTCAGGGTTCTCACTTTTTCTTAGTTGCCTCTTACAAGTAAACTAAACATTGTAAAAAGACTATCCATCTCTGGCTATGACATGTCATTTGAAAGAAAAAGAGCGTGGTTTTCGATTCTTGTGTCTATTTCCTTGAGAGCGAGCTTCATCTCACTCTTCCCTTGACCTGACATCCTCCTTGCCCAGTTGGGCATACTGAGCCAGCCAAGATGTACAGGCTTCGTGTTGGTCGCGTCCGATCTGTCCAATGGAGGCCGTAGATACCTGATAATCAAGGTCATGATTGACCTTATAGTGCCTTCACAAGGTCCCTATTGAGATATCAGTATTTCAGGTACTGTATGCCTCAGGCCGGAAACTAACCGTTCTCGGGTGTAAGCTTTGATAAGGTGTCCACTGTTTCATAATTTTATTGAGAAGCTTGGTTGCATTAAACCTTGGAAGCTTGAAACCCCACCTACAAAAGGGGTTTTGAACCCTGAGTCCTATAAGTCTTCGTACCACGCCCACTTAGCAACAAGTCCATTTCTGCCAATCACCATAGACCGTCGCAATTAAGCTAAGACTGACGAGTTGGATATTCTATACCGGTTTTCAGTTGGCCAAGGATAGCTTCTTTTCCGTAGAGGATACTGCTGATAGAAACGTCCTTCAATAAATAAGGTGGATGTTGGAAGGGACTACGTCAAAGTGCATTGTGCAATATGAGATTGGGTTGAGTTGAGAGTTGTAAAAAGCTTAGTTACAGAGACTAAGAAATCCGACACCCCCCACGAATATCATACTATTTTAGTCTCCTGTAGGACCTAGTCACATCTCTACCGCAGGTTTTCTGGGTATAAATACCTGTCCCCTCACCTTTTCTTTTCTTTCTTTCTCCCCTCTCTAAGCTACCACCTCTATTTTTGCTTTCTCTCAGGATAAAAGAGTAAGACCTCACTCCATTCCTATGAGAGCTACACTAATACCTTGAGCAGGCCACTTCCTGTTCCACCGATCGTGCAGAGTGACACCGAGCTTCCCCCAGGCGCCTGGGCTGAATATGCGCTCACTCTCCCGTGGAGTGCTGCAAGACTAGGCACCCACGTGCGAACCGACCTATTGGCCATCCTCCGCGGCCACGAAATTCAGCGTGAGCTGGTAATCCGCACCATTATCCCGTGGAACGCCCGCCGGTTTGACATCGAACTCGGAGCGACTAGTGCCCGTGCAGAGGCCGCGTTCATATTTATGACCGGCCAGGTTATAGAGGTCCCGTGCACATATTGCCAAGAGCTTAAGGGGATTTTCCCCTTATGCGTTCGAAGCCGGGAGCGCGGCACCCCAGGACAGTGCGCCAATTGCTGGTGGTCTGGTCGCGGTTGCTCGCTGCAGGCCTCCACTCAGGCCCTGGCCGCTAGCGCGGCGTTCTTTCAATCTCCCTCGCAAGTCCTTAATACCCCCCAAGTCCGCCGTGCACTTCGTGACCATACTCGACCCCTCTCCACGGCCACTCAGCACCTCCAAGCCGTTGTACAAAACCCTACTAGCACTCCCCAGGAGATTCTCGCTGCTATTCAAAATGAAATTGCCCAGGTGAATGGATTCCTCTCGACCTTCCAGTAGGGGAACGCCGAAACAAATCAGTGACTTATGTTAAGGGGGATTTCTCCTCCTTCTACCTAGTATTGATAATCACAATTCCATCTGCTATTTCTCTTTTTCTTCTTCTTATTCTTTTATAGCCTGCCATACTGAATAAAGTAGGCCAACTTGACCGATAACCCCTCTCGAATATATTCCTCTTTTTTTCATTTTACACTATATCTTTTCTCCATTAGTATAATTTAAAACCAGCCTTATACCCGTCCAGCTCTTATTTATATATCCTATAGATTGCCCCTGATTTCTTTCCTGATTCCTCCTATTTTTTCCCAGTCTCCTCCCAGTCTCTTCTAACTCTCCTCCCAGTCTCCTCCCAAATTTCACCCGATAATTTACTACCACTTTAACAATATCTCTAATATTCATAAAGTAAGAAATCTATTTTAATTTTTATATATAGCTAAAGGCTGAACTCAAAATCACTGAAACCGTTGTGGTAGAACTGTATACATTGTTTAAATAGATTAAGATGGTTCTTATAAGGCCCCATTGAAATATACGTTCATTGCGATGTCCTGTTAGGTTGATGTTTAAATGTACCCAACCTCTTCAGCTTCTGCCATAATAGCCCTCGCTAGCTCGCGCTTTTCGGTAATGATGGCCCCAAGGGCTTCGCCCCTCTTGAATCTCTTCCATTCAAGATCGTAAATGTCGCTCATCTCTTCCAGCATGACCTCAAGGGTTCGCTTCCTCGGCATCGGCTCGTTGGCTTTCTTTTCTGCTTTTGTGAAGCTGCACCTTATACCCTGTCGGTCGAAGTGGCAGTTTGGACATGCTGTCATTCCAGGCACCCGCACACAGTTGGCAAACTTGCCGTCCAGCTTAGCACAGTTATCACAGCAGTTGGTCTCATCCAGGAGTTCCCCAACGGCTTGTCCAATCAGTGCCTCGATGTTGGTTTTGTGAAAGCCGATTTGACGGTCCCATTGGCTAGCGTTTGGATGGCTCTTCTTCAAGTTCTTGCTGTTGATTTGGAGTACCGGCTCTCTTTGTAGCGGCATTCTGACAAGGCTATATAGCAGGCTGCCTCGAGTGAGGCTGGCTGCTTGGCCCCGGTTCCACTCGCACTCGACTGCCTGCTTAGCCCAGTACCCTGGCTTTTGCTCTGCTGCACCGAAGTGTCCAAAGATCGGATCACGGCCTTGTGTCGTTGGTGCTGCTGAATCTTCCATTTCTGCCGAACGTTAGTGTTTTCACTTTAACTCACTGCCTACAACCCCACAACGCTTACAGTGTATCCCCTTGGCGAGTTCCTCCAATGCGTGCATGAAGAATCGATATATGAATGATGTGTCAATGAGTGAAAATGGGAGAAAGTATATGTATGATCTTTCAAAAAGTGAGAGTCAAGAAGTTGTATAAACGGTGTTTTGAAGGTTATATGTAAGAATAACTTCAAGTTTGATACGAGTAAGTTCCAACTGATTGCTATTTCCTCACTTCAGTAAAAAGCCATATATGTACGTTGTATTCTTTCACCAATTTGTCCCTTTTCTTTCGATATCTACTTATCATCAGATGAAAACAGTTATGGCGCACTGGGAGTTAGAGACCGTTGTACCCTGGACCTAATCTTATAGCGCTCAGGGCCCAACCCCCCTTTTTGGAAGGTGTTGATGTATGAACTTTATGGGTAAAATGATAAGAACAAGAATTTTAACAAACTGTGCACTTTTGTATGGGATTCAGCCATGGTATTCGACAGAAACTTTAATTTAATTGTGATCTATTACTATGTAGTTACACCCACTAGGTACCCGGAGGGAGCAACCTTGGAAGTTACGGCATCATCTCGTTTCTTCCTTCCACACCTCCTGCCTTTACATCTCACCTCAGCTTAATAACCCAAAAAATCAGAGGCTGTGATTCATTCTAGCCCTAGTCGTTGCCTCAGGTTTCCAGAATTCACGTTCTTTCTGGTTTGACGTTCTTTCCCTTTTGACCAACTTGGTCCTTCTTCCACTTCACACAACCCTGTTGTTCACCTTTACCCTCCTCACCATGTCAGACGATACCCCTCCTCAGCCATCCGACTTGACCACAGAGCGATCATGCTTAGACTTCAGAGATCTTAAGTCTTTCAAATATTGCATCGCTTCTATCGCCCAAGTGAAGGACTATCACGAATTTGTCTTCCTTGATATCCCTCCTGACTGGAAAGATACTGCCTTCGAAGTCCTTGACGAGGTTGTTTCTGCTCGGTAAGACTTGGAAACTATACCTACCTCTATGTATCGTCTCACTGATATTGGCACTACTAGAAAAACATACGATAGCACGGCAGACGTCCTAAGAGTGGTTACTATGCCTACGGCAATACACAATTGCATCCAACCCTGGCTGTACAATGAATTGTTCAACTGGGTGGTGACTGGAACTATTACGCCAGACGAGGCGAACATGATTCACGGAGAATGTTCAACGAGTAAGTAATATGGGTTCCCCCTTTAGTGCTTAAGGCTAATAAACACAGCCCTTCAGTTTCCCAGCGGTCCGTATCGTGGTTCAACGAAGGAGCCAGACTTCTTCTTTATGATCCGTGACCGGTTGTTGCCAACTGTTGCCGTTGAATGTTGGTGGAGTGAGTCAATGTCACGTTTACACAATGACCTGAACATCTTGCTGGTTGGAGGAAATGGCGACATTAAAGTCGTCATTATAATCAAGTGGTCGAAGCTCACCGGAGATCGTGTTTCTGGCGTCGCAGAATTATACAAGTGTGATAGGAACGGCATACCTGTACGCGAACAAAGTGAGGTATGTTGAAGATATTCTAAGGTTCCATTTATGTCTCACTTACTAATTACCTGAAATTTATAAAGGTTATTTTCCCTTCTGATTCGACGACCGTCGACCAACAACTTGTCCTCAAACGACGTGATCTTCTTGGATCAGGGGTTCATAATCCCAGCGGCTCCCTCGTTCTTGATCTTGACACTTTACGCGACTTTGCAATTCGTGCGCTTGGGCGTATGGGCCTTATGCCCGCTACTTGAAGGGGGTTCGACTTTGCTGTTGAGAATAGCTATCATGCCCGATACAAAATGAAAAGCTCTTGAGAATTGTGAGAAGACCAGCCGTCGTAATAGTAGATGGAAATAATCCAGGGTTCAGTACAAAGTACCATATCAGGTAGGAATATCACTTGAGAATTGTCACCTGGGGGTTATTCTGGAGCTTCATAGTGGGCCTTTACAGTTAGAGTGACAAAGTAAGGCTAGAGAGATAAGAATGGACGGGGAAAGGAAGGGTACTTGTAGCTTTTTTTGGTCACTATGAGAAATATACCTTTTGCTATACGGGCTGAATATTCGGGTGAGGAATATTCAGGTGGGTGAATATCTGCCCTGAGTGCCCTGAATAGAGCGGCGAGCCGCCCACGCCCGAACCGTGGGCGCTAGGTGACCACGGTCATACACATGCTGTTGTATGTTTTTGTTTTTGTGTACTCAGTATAGCAATAGTATAGACCTACATAGAAATGAAACATGTGTATACTTGACGCTTTCTTTTTGCCTCACCAGACCGAGCAAGACCTACGGAGTATAACTAGATTGTGCCAGCAAGCCGATTAGTCAGCCCCAGCACCAGCTCGGCCAAATCCTGAAATTGCCGAACGCTCGGGAAAGAATTTCAACGCTCCGACCGCATCCGGACGAATTCCTTTTTTGCTCAAATTGAACAGCCCCAGAAAAAAAAAAAGGAATTTATCAGATGGTACGAAAAAGGCGTGCTCTTACGGAAGAGGAAGAGCAACAAGGTCGGGAGTCCCAAAGAAGGAAATTTGTTGCGTGCGTTTTCCAGATAGCTCACACCGGAGCACCGAGCACTAACACACAGCATTCACAGCTGTCAAAGATGCCACTCGCATAAAATCAAATGTTCCGGAGACCAGCCGTGTAGCAAATGCCGCACGGTAGGCGTCGCTGATGAATGTGCCTATGCTACTCGGGATCGCCAGGTGAAAGTTAGTGAAAAGTATGCAAGCAAGCCACCGACTATTATTAGCCAAAGCCCTGAAAAGCTTGTCTATTCCAAGTCTCAGACCAGAAGCTAAAACTGTCCCCTTCAATCAGCTATTTGGATCAGATCCTCGCAGAGAATCAGCGGCTTAAGGAACGGTCGATCACCTCGGCTCAAGTCGCCGAGACCAACGACCCCTCGCAAAGGTAGACATCTCTTTGACTTTCCAAAAGATGACCCACAACATACAGAATACTGAGGTTTACAACAGAGGCCCTTCCAAGACAGCAGATGTCCCTGATGGAACAGGCATTCAGAATCCATTGATTGGAGATCGAGCCTGGTTTCACCGGTATGATCCCTCTTCGCCGCCCATCTACATCGGCGAGGCAGCATGTTCAGCATTCGCGACACGGTTTCGGCTTTTCTTGTCGGGGAATAGTGGAATGCCACATATTCCGCGAACACAGTATGAGCGCGAAGAGACAATCGCCGCAGCGAACGAAGCCGATATCCAGTGGCCGAGTCTTCACCATGCTCGGTTGTTAGTCCGGATAGCAATCCACCAGATCGGACATCTGTACCACCTCATGATGCGCAAGTCGACGTTAGATAAACTGGAAGAGATCTACCAGACACAAGACTTTGACTGCGCGGCTAACAAGTGTAAATTCTTCGCCTTGTTCGCCTTTGGCCAGGCGTATTCAATCAGATCTGAGCCCAATTCTGGCTCCAGGGTACCAGGCACATCGTATTTTGCTCGGTCAATGGGATTGGTCCAGATCCTGCCAGAGAGAACCAGTGTTACACACCTGGAAACCCTGCTACTGTTGGTATGTGGCTCAGCATGTGCTATTGTTCGCATCAAAATACTTACCATATCCCAAGTCTCTTTTCTCATACTATCTCAACCGGCGTCATTCAGCATACATCCTGATTGGAAACGCCATGCGGATGGGTTTGACCATCGGCTTGAATCATAATATCCCGGAATCACAGCTCATCGACCCAGTGGAGCGCCAACACCGCATCCAAATATGGTGGACGATCTACATCTTCGACCGGATGTGGGGGTCCAAAATGGGTCTCCCAATGCAAATCCTCGATGAAGATATCCACGTCGACATGCCTTCAACCATCTCCCCCGCTGGCGCCACGAGGAAGAACTCTCCGACTCAGAATACATGACCGCCAACATCAAGCTGGCACGCATAGTGGGCGAGACAATCACCCGACTGTACAGCCGGCGAAAGTACCAAGAAACCTTCCTCCAACGCGTTCAGAAACTCCTCAAAGCCCTGAAACACTGGGTAGAAACACTCCCCGAATCCCTCAGACTCAACATGGAAGACCTAGAATCGAGCAAGAAACCCATCGCCTCCCTCCACATAGCCTTCAACCAATGCGTGATCCTAACGACGCGCCCAACGCTACTTCACCTCTTGATGACACTAAGCAAAAAAAGAAAACCTCACCCGAACACCGGCAATCATACCAGTGGAGCCGAGACCGAAAGCGATAGCGAAGATGTATCCGTTTCCCAACCAGTCCTTACTCTAAGCGAAGCATGTATCCATGCAGCGCGACACTCCCACTCCATGATCCTGACACGGTGGATCAACGGGTCCATGCCAACCTTCGGCTATTTCCACGCCCACTACCTCTTCTCCTCGGCATTGATCTTGGCAATGTCCAGCTTTGTTCCAATCGGCAGCCCGACTGATATGACCGCGTTCGACTCCGCGCTAGATCTGCTACGCTCCATGGCCGAGAATGGGAATTTGGCGGCGGCGGAATTCTATCGGAACCTGGAGCAGGTGAAGGTTTGTTTAGCTGCATATCAGGGAGGAAGGCGGGATGACGGAAATGCTGATATGGCTGCTGGTGGAGGAGTCGCTCCTAATACCAACGCTAATGCTAGTGGTAATGCTGCTCCTTCTAGCACTGGTGCGGTGGCTTTGTCTGGGCCTTCGTCGGATTTAGCAACAGCTACTACTCCTTTTTTGAACGCCTTGCCACTGAACCCATCCACATCGGCAACTATACCTCCAGCATCTTTGATGCCCACAACACATAGTATCATTTCTTCTGCCCCCACCACACAACCTGTCCATAGCCATGGATTCGATGCATATGCCTATCCCTTGAGGGATGCCGTCAGCGGGTACACGACCGAAATGGCGTTTCTAGAGCCGACCATGCAAGATTTTCTGGCCCAGTCAGATATCGACCTCGGGCTGTTGCATCCTGTTGATACGTTCTTTAACGAGGCGGAGAATCTGTATACATGCCACGAGTTTTGATTGGGTATAGCTGGGGCATATGAGATAATAATATGCACGTTTTAGATTTAGACTTAGTCGTTCTGGTCTGAGTTGACTTAACAAGTGACTCAACACTGTATGGTCGAAGCTGGTATTTAGCTCAATATACTCTGTCATGTGTACGCAGAGAAATATCCTTGCGGGCAAATAATGGAAGACACAATGTCATGAAAAGACACAACACAATCAACTTTGCGAAAAACATTGATGAAGATAAACCGGAATCATAATCGAGACATCACATGAACAAGCATTTACAGCATGATGAGAGACGCATGATGGATATAACAAGTTGCTTGGTATATGTCGTGTAATTCAGCAGGCAAAAACAGTTACGGTCACTTTCCCTCACCATCAAGCCGGTGTATGAATCAAAAACCCCATAACTAGATACATGAGATACGGAAGAATATGCGCGTCTAGAGTTCGGCATCAACAGCAAACCCAAAGTTCGAGCCATGTCGTGAAAGAAGGTCCATGCAGACAAGCCAGGCTCGCCGGGAAGAAAGATCTTTGGTCGACATTGCTTTCAACCAGTGAGTCGCTTTGTTGATCTTTCTAGTGATATCAACAGCCTTGGCGGTGTTTATATGAGTGCGAGTGAACAGCTCGATGAGCAGGATGGTAGTCGACTGCATGATGTTGTGCAGAATGCACCACCACGGAGCGACGCCATACAGCCAAGTCAAGTCTAGATTTTCAGGCAGCAGTTCGAGCATTTGGCCTGCCATATGAACGCACAAGGCTGCCATCTGATCACACACCGTTCCCTGGCCCGCTTCAGATGACTGTCGGGATAGACGGCGGATACAGGGCTGCAAGATTATCAGCTTGGTCGAGTAGAATTGGAAAGCAAGACTAGCACGCTGCTGTAGAAATTGAGGGGTTGGGTCTAGCGTTGTGAAATGAAACTCCACCGGAAGACGAGACAACCAGTTGTCAGTATGATTGTTTAGCGTGGAGATGGCGGCTTCGATCTCGTGCCATGACTGTCGAACTGCTCTAGGAGCATAGAGCATATTAATAGCTTCTCGTAAGAGATGAGCCAAGTCCACTGTGTACAAAAGGTACAGAGAGGAATTGGGTGTTAGATTCTCTACCCCCGTCTGTCTGGCCCTTTCTTCTTGTTTTCCCTTGCCCGACTCTCGCCGTTCCGGGGTTCTTGGAGTCATATACTCTTTTGGCGAAGTTGCCGTGGTATCGGAAATTAAAGAGGGGGGAAATGTACTTCGAGCCCTTTGGTCGGTAGTAAGTTGCGCGACACGCCTGTCCCAAAAATTCTCCTCTGCGAAGGGGACAGGGAGGGGTGTGGAGCAAAAAATGTCCCCCGTGCCAGGTGGACGGCCTGTCATCTCACATAGCACCATGTCCAACATAAACAGTGCCCACCAAACTCGATATCGAAGTTCCTTCGAAAACTGGGTGATGCTATCGCTCTCGCTTCGAATGTTTAGACCCATAGTCACCGCCGATCGACTCGCCATTCCGATGAGTTTCCATGACCTAGATGAGCAAGACCAGTCAGATATAAATCGTGCAATAAATCAGGAAGGAAAAGGGGCAAGACCGACCTATTAATTTGACCAACCGATAGGAGGTAGAAAGCAGCCAAGCCATCCACCTGTGCCTGTTGCAAGTCCGGATAATCTAGCAATACTTTACCTACATTCAACCTCCACGCCCGTGCAAAATAAGTCTGATGGCCGTCACAATTTGGTTGGAACTGATCGACGAGGAAGCAATGTCTGGCCGCAATGGCAAACACTAAGTTTAGCACTATAATCCATCGTCTCCCAGGTCGCACGTTCGGATTCGCATAGAAGGATCGATACTGATTCAGAAAGACGGCCTTTCCAATGATGGGGAAGGTAGGATGTACGGCGTGAAAGTAGGTGTCAATGAGCCTGTTAGCAATTGGTTGCGGAGGCCGGTGTGTGAGGTCGATATCGTCAGGAACTAGAATTTCCGAGTCATCTTGGAAGTAGTTCACGGAAGATATCGAAGGGCGTGCGGGGGTATCTTTGACTGCAATCAAGCTGTCATGATCAAGGTAGCGCTTGAGTCTATACAACCATGCCATCTCTGAATGTTCACCCACAAATCCCGTCGGTTGTACTTTCTCATCCCGATCGAAGTCCTCTTCGGTGTAGTCTACAGCCCCCGAGGGAATAGACACAGGACTAGCATTAGCACGGGAAGGAAGCACTGATTGATTGATGGGCCTTGTTGGGTTGGTGAATAAGGTAGGGATAGGGGTAGTGAGCGTGGTCCGTGAATTCAGCTCCCTCAGTGTTTTCTCGACCCGCTGGGCCGACAAGACATCGAGCTTGGGATAAAGTTCGCGGAGCAAAGCATCGAAGGTTTGAACCCGTGTAGTTAGATCGTTCAGCTGCCTATCACATGTCAGATGAAAGTATTAGAACAGACGAAAAAGGTTAACGACTTCACCATCTTCTCTCTTTTCCGGTCGCCATACGAACACGGGACACCGGCATCCAGGCACCGATGACAGGCTGGGCGATGACCACTACATTTGGCCTTTTGCTCGCGGCAATTTTCACAAGCCCGGCTGACTCGACCACTGCTAGTCCAACTACTGGATTGTGCGTTCCGGGGGATAGCCACCTTAGCATTCACGCGGTCGCTTGTGTTGAATGAAGGATAATCGCGGGCATCACGGATAGTTTCGGTATTGAGCTCCAGGGGGGAAGGTTGCGGGCATTCAGGCGCCCAGTCAAAATTGAATCCATTTCCCAGGTTCGGATATTCAGAAAACGGAGCACCAAAGTTCTCACCCATATCGTTACTAGATATAGTTTTCGAAAGGATTTGATCATAGGAAAGGGTTTTCGCACGAGACGCAAGACACTAGCGGGACATCGACTCATAAGCCACACTGGACGAACCGCCGGGGAAGAAGAATCATCCCCCTTGCACACGAAGGAAAAAATTAAAAATAGAAACACACAAAAACAAAGTCGACGAGTCCCCTACTGTGGACTAGTCACAAGTGGGTTTCAATCGAGATCGGGTCCTCTGGTATGCTGGAGGTCTTTGCCGCCACTAAGAGCAGCGCTAAGGCCAATAAGTGCTTTGCATTGCACTTTGGATGGTATTTTTTTGAATAGACGAGAATGAACATCGTAGAAGCTTCCAGACTGTGAATAGGTGTGTTGTATCGCATAGACAATGGCGCGGGTGGTCTGTACGAGCCTTGCTCGAGATTTTCCTTCGGTTTGTAACATCCATGATTCCCATACATATAACCTAAAGCTATATGGGACCCGCTCTCTGACAGGCTGAGAACTCAGGTTCTCTCTGTACTAGGGTTTAGACCCAAATCTTATCGCCCTCTTTCGGTCCGAGAATCACCGGTATCCCAAATTCCGATGATAGTTTGGCAAACCATCATTGTGCCAGGACCCAGCATCATGAATACATTTCATAAAGCAACATTGGTTTGCTTATCAGAATCAGATGGTAAGATTGCTCCTTCAGTTTCCTCTCCCTTCAAGGGTCTTGGCAAAATTTGCACGGGGATCTTTGTTGTGCTTTCAGACCCGGAAATACGGAATCGTATGACAGTCTTTCTAAGTCAACATCCAATGCGTTTCTTTCAACCACATCGTCTTGTTTCTCTTCGGACTTGCCTCAGTTTGGGTGGGTCGATACTCGTTCGTCATCAAATCGAAGACCCACTGACGTTCGCATGCTCATGCCCACCGAAAGGCAAGCAGACAACAAACCATCACGACCCCATTGATAGAAGTGACTATCATTTGATTTCTTGGTCTTGTAACAACGAGTCGACGAAGCGTGGCTGATTGCACGATCAGCTGCGATGGATAGTCCGCCAGCTGGATGGTCCGGCAGTCCGGCAGTCCGGCAGTCGGCAGCACTGCAGCAAATAGAGCAATCCAAACGCCCGATAGACCTTCAAAAGAAGATCACAGAGGAAACTGATCATCTGCATCATCAACCATGATAATTTGGGCAAAATTTTGACACGGACCCAAAGGGACCGGGCCTCTGTACAGCTGGGCAACGCGCATCAGAGTCTTCGCTTAACCCTAGTCTTTTGCTGGCTCCACTGCTCGGGTTTCTAATAATGCGCTATAGGCAGCATTTTTAGCACAGCCTGTGATCTGCAAGGCGTGAGAACCAGCAGTCTGCAATGAGCACTTAAAGGCAAGACAGATGCCAAAACGTGAACGAAAGCCTCGGTCTTTGCTTCATCTCATAATGTAAGTCCGAGAAGAAGCGCCACGATAGTGATATGACCGGTGATATGAGCCGTGATATGAAGATGCTCATACTTCACTGGAAGCTGAGCTAAAAGCTGGTTTATGCGAGGATAGGGATGGACTTCGGAGCAACGCGCCCGTTGCTCTTGGTTTTTCTGTTAGTGCACGCGCAAATCCATTGAGCCACCATTCAGTGTCATTTTTCCAGGAAAAAATCATAAAGCTTCTCCGCCCCTGTGATCTCAGGCAAAATTCATCTCCGACTCGAGCCTATCAATAGCGCAACGCAAAATGCAGCGGGAAATCGAGCCACGTGTTGGAACCGTTCAAGAGGACCACGACCCAAGCGCACCCTAAATCACAAGACAATCGCTTTCCATTCCTCTTTGACGTCAATGGAGAGTCATGTCAAAGAGAAAAAATGAGATTGGGTGGCTTAAATTTGGGCTCTTCGGTCAAGCGTCGAGTCGGGCGTTCCGCCGCTACGGGTTCATGTGACCATTGTTGTGATTGTTGTGAATCTAGTCCACCGAGAGATAATCAAGCCGTCTCGGCGCGAGCTACGGAGGACAAAAAAGTGTTTCAATGCTGCCTGCCTGTTGTGTCCGGAGAACATGCGCCAGCCTATCGGCTGGAACAGGTCGTGCATACATGTTTTCTTTTCATGCAGGCTGACTCTATAAACCTGCCGTTTAGGGTTCGGAACTAGTCTCTCACCAGAATTCAATTATTTTC